GAGAGAGAGAGAGAGGTTCGATGATGCTGCCGGTAACGCAATTAGCCGACGCACCCTACCCGCTTCTATCTCCCCTATTTCATTTCACTCGACAATCGCCGCTTTCAAAGTATTGTCTTTGACGTCTTATAACGTCCCTGAAGATATATATATATATATATATCAGTACGATGATGTGCGAGGATTTGTAAAAATTTTCGAACGACATCCATCAAAAGTTTACGTGTGTTCTCCTCTTTGAGGAGGGGGGAGGAGGAGCGTGTCAAAGAGGACACACGGGCGAGAAGGTAGATCGATCAAGGGATACACGAGGATTTGCCGACTTTTAGCAAATCTGCCAGAAACTGCATTCTTCCCCCCCCCCCTTTTAAGAGATTAATGCGAAATCGTGGAGAAAAATGGGACCGTCCTTCCTCCCTCTCGGCCAAGTAAGCGAGCGAGCAAGTATCGTCCTGTCCATCGATTATTTCTATGACGACGAAGAGGGACGAGATGGAGGAGGAGAGGAGAGGAGAGGAGAATCGAGAGAAGGAGAGAAGCACCAGAGTATTTGAATAAAGCTACCCACGCGCGATTCCAAGAAGCCTTGTTAAACCCGTGAAAGGAATCGCGCGCGCCCTTTCTTCGCTACGGTAACCGGAATTCTTGGAAGTCTTTCTCCGACCTATCGCCGCGAGTCGTGGCTTACCTTCCCTCCCCTCCCTCCCTCCTGTATCGAGAGTAAGCGAAGCTTTCTCACTCCTAACTACGTCCATTGTACGCGTACATATGTGTGTGTGTGTGTGTGTGTGTGTATAGTTTTCGAACGAGTAATTTGTTGCTCGATCGGTCGCTTAACTTTCTCGCTCGACCGAGAAGAAGAAGAAGAAGAAGAAGAAGAAGAGTATTTTTCTTCCCTTCGAGAATATAATCTCTCTCGATTCCACGATAAAGAGAGAGGGAGAGAGAGATTGCACGACGTGATTACTTTTAGTCAAGGGGACGTCAAATCGTTGAGATCGGACACATCTTTCTCTCGAGAGAAAGAGAGAAAAAGTGAGACGCGTCTTATCTTGCCAAGGAAAAATCCTCTTTTCGACCGAGGAGCATTTCCCCGTTCGAGAGATAAAAGACTTCGAGGGAACGTTAAACGATACGAGAAGATGGCAAATACGAACGTCAACAGGGAGAAGAGGAGGTAGTCGATCGAACGAGTTTCTTCTCCACTTTTCCCTCCTATTGTTCGATACATCTTTCGAGCGGTCGAGCGAAAAGAAAGAACGTACGACGAAAGTTTACGGCGGTAAAATCGTTCGCATCGGGCCAAACTAGTTTTATTCATTCCCATGCCAAAGATTCGTCCCCACCATCTTTTTCTTCTTCTTCTTCTTCTTCTTTCTCCTCCGTCTCTTTCGTTACACTTTTATTTTCACCGTGAGAACAAAGCTGGCCGGTCCGTCGCCGTCCGTCGTTTCCAACGACCTCCTTTTCAGTCGGAAAGAGAAAGAGGCGATGCTCGCTACTCTCCGCGATATTGTTGGGTGAAATCCTAGAACTGATCGAGGCTGACCAACCACCGCGAAACTTCCGATAGAAGTAGGCGTTATCCGCGATACGATGCACGTGTGCATCGTGACACGTGAGCCACACGTGCATCGCGAGACGCGCTCCCTCTCTTTCGATTAAGTCGAGAGCCGTGCGTGGTCGAGTCGAGGAACAGGCTGTATATTTCTTTCCGAGCTATGAGTTCACCGCCACCGATACGCGGCGAGCTGTCTCTCTTTCGTCGATCGGATTTTACCTTTATCTCGTTGCCGAGAATATATCCGATCGATGCCAGAGATCGGACAGACGATATCCGACGGATGGTTCCAACGTGCACGTACGCGTAACGTGTGTGCACGCGTCACACCTTTCGACCTCTCCTTCGCGCATGCGTACGGTTCCGCGTACATGTTTTACCGAGTATCTTATCCTGTTTAATTTTAGCAAATGAAGAGTATCTCGCGTGTTTTCGATAACGTTGAAAAAAAAATGAATTAAGGGTAAGCGGTTTCAAGGGAATTGTCGCTTTCGTATAAATAAATAACTAAGTAAACCATTTGGAAGGTATTTAATTATCTATTATTTATTACTTTTTCTTTTTTCTCTCTCCCTCTTTTTCATTAAGAATTACGCGGTGCATCGATCAACGAATTATAAGAACGAATAACGTGGCACGTGTACTCTTTTCGAAACTTATTTCAATTTTTTAACGTTATATCGGAAACAAAATATCCGAACGGAGATTGTTTGAAAAAAAAGTAATCCGAACAGATGTACGAGGGATAGTAAGTAAAGATGAGTATGAAAAAAATCTGCTTTTAAATTGTAATTCTCGTAACACAAAGTGGAGAATTTGGAGGAAAATTTTTGAATTTTTCCGTTATCCAATGTCGAGGAGAATATAACGAGAATAACACGAAAGGAGGTGGCAACTTTTTTGCACGATTCGACGTACTGTTCACCGCTGGAAAAAAAGTCTCGCGGGACGGCACAGGGGCAAGAGGAGTTCTTCGCTACGATCGCTTATCTTCTCCACTTTAGACACTTTGTTGACGATTCTGACGCCACACGCTACTATAGCATAGCTTGAAGCACTATAGAAGAGTTATGATTTGAATCGATTATATGTGACAAATGCCTCGCTAGAAACAAAAATTGCGCGTAAAAATAGTTTCTTTACCTAACTCTAGCTTTTTTATCGTGCAACTTCTTCGAAAAATTATCGAAGAATACAGGAATGGCATCTAAAAATCAATTTCGATTCGATCGACCAGGATCCCGGAGAATTGCGACAGACTCAAAGCAACGGCATTTACGAATTCCTCGCCTCCCTCAAAAGACAAAGGAGAGTTTAATTCCCGAAGTATCGACGCGCCTTTTCTTTTCTCCTCCTCCCTTCCTCTCCACTCGAAGATCGATCGAAGAAAATCAAAGTTTCACGTATCTTCAAGGTGGAAAGTTGTTCCTTCCTCTTCTTTTTCGTTTCGAGGTAATGGACGGTTCCCTCTCCCCCTTCGCTCGAGCGCGTTTACCACGAAGCTCGAGTTTGGGATGGCGAAGGAGGAAAGGAGGGACGAGCGAGATAGCAGGGACCGGTTGAAGCGGCGTTCGAGAAACGAGCGAGAGCCGTATTCAACAAAGCTCTCTCTCCCCTTTGTTTCGGTCCCATGGAAGAAGAAAGGGGAGTCGGTCGAGTCGTGCGCGTGGATAATTCGCGGGATCTCCCACGAGGGAAACGAAATATATTCACAATTATTCTCTCGGGCGGTGACGGTGTTCGAGCGGAGGATGGAAATAACGAACTCTCTCTATCGAAAGCGGCCCGATTTAAGCTCAAAATTAAGAACACGTTCGTATGGTAATATATCATTACCGCTAATTTTCGTATTCGGAATCTGTTTTTTCTTTTCGAAAGATACGATCGAATCTGCGATTCGAAGAAACAGAGAATCGATTCCTTTTTTTTTCTTTTCTTATTACAAATATAATAGTAAAAAAAAAAATACTATATTAACGGCTTTTAAAATGTAATTTACAAATTATTTCGGAGAATTTTAAGTATCAAATACGTAACGATTCCCGAATATTCGACAAAGCATACAACGCTCGATGAGAGCATATTTATAATTATTCTTAAATAACGTTAAATTTTTCAATTCGATTTTAAAATCGAGTTTCGAATTGAATCGTTGGATTCAAAATGCGATTTCTCGATAGTAACATAAAATTTGAATCAAAGGAACGACGATGTGTGCTTTCCAGGAGAGAAATCGAGCGGATACACGGGGAAACCGCTGCCAACGTACAGGCCAGCCTCGCAGTTGGTTCCGCTGGGAGGAGCTGCGAGATTGTTTTGCGAGGCGTATCTCGGGAAGGTGGAGCTGCCGGACGCGAAAAATTCGGTGACTTGGTCGAAGAGCGACAGCAACGTCACGTTGCCCAGTCACGGAAGGATCGCCCAGCACAAAGTGTCCAGGTAAAATTTTCCACTTTATCAATTATTTCGAACTCTGCTTCCTCTACTTATCGTCCGGTATACACCTTGATCGTAAGATCGATAAAGGAGAGCGAGAGTCGAGGGAGCATCGAACTGCTAATTAAGCGCCACTTGCCAGTATTGGAATTTGGCTTTGATCCCAAGGATGCGCGCGCATATATATATATACACAGCTCCTGAATCGGTTAATAGGAGCGTGGCTAACGAGAAACGCCGAGTAATGAAATACCCGTGGTCATTATCGCCGGAAATACGGATTTCGGGAAAGCAAGGACGAGTAGGGCCAGGATCAAAGGTGGATCAAAGAAAATACGAATCGCCAAAATTCGACGAAATTAACATGAATATGTATATATATATATATATTTTCCGGAAAATGCAAATAGTTTCACGTTCAAATTGCTATCCTATCTCGTTGGATAAATTTCGAAAATGGCGAAGGCGAAACTCGTTCTCCGATTAGCGGGGATGAAAACTAAAAGCTCGGTTTAACTCGTTTCGATTCGCGCGATAGAAAAAGAAAGTAGGAGGTCGAAACGAGGCGAGGGGGGAGGAGGGCAGGAATCTTTTCAATGGTAATGCCGATTCCACGGATGCGGGGATGTTCGTATCGTTATTTCGATAATTTATCGTTCAAAATAATAATAATAATGATTAATAATAATTGGAAATAACAATCAACTGTGATTGAAACGTAAATCGATGATATAAAAAATATATATTAAAAATTAATTTATTAATTTTAGGTGGAATTTATCGAATTAATTTGATCAATTAATTGTAAAAGTTTAATTAAAAGCTAGGATTAGATGGACCCTGTTATGGAGGATTAAGAAGAATTTATCAAATTATTAAATGTTAAAATTAAATTAATATTTTGCTCTCCGATTAAAGAAATTTGTTTATTAATTCGATAAGATGGATAATAAACTTAATAAATTATGGTGTCTCATTTATTTTAATAGTTCGAATAGTTAATAATATTTGATTGAAATATAAATTCGTATCGAAACGTGCAATACATATAACGTTTAAAATGAATTTTTCGATAAATTAAATTCGAGAGAGGATAAAGTTAAAAGTAAATAATTAAAATAATTGATCGATGCGACAGCTAACGCGGGATTCATTTACATCATCAACGCTATTTTTCTATTATTTTGTACACGATCTATTTCATCGCCCCGTGCATACAACGTAAGCAAAAATAAATGTTGAATTTTTTTTCACGACGAAGCGATGTTTTTCGCTTCTCTCTCTCTCTCTC